CTGTTGAATTTTGTCAAAGGTCTTTTCTACATCTATTGAGATAATCATGTGGTTTTTGTCTTTGGTTCTGTTTATGTGATGGATTACATTTATAGACTTGCATATGTTTAACCAGCCTTGCATCCGCAGGATGAAGCCTACTTGATCATGATGAATAAGCTTTTTGATTTGCTGTTGCATTCTGTTTGCCAGTATTTTAATGAAGATTTTTGCATCGATGTTCATCATGGATATTGGCCTGAAGTTTTCTTTTTTGTGTTTCTGCCCAGTTTTGGTGTTAGGATGATATTGGTCACATAAAATGAGTTGGGGAGGATTCTCTCCTTTTGTATTGTTTGGAATAGTTTCAGAAGGAATGGTATCAGCTCCTCTTTGTATGTCTGGTAAACCTGTCTGGACCTGGTCTTTTTTTAATTAGTAGGCTATGAATTGCTACCTCAACTTCAGCCCTTGTTATTGGTCTATTCAGGGATTCAACTTCTTTCTGGTTTAGTCTTGGGAGAGTGCAAGTGTCCAGGACTTTATCCATTTCCTCCAGATTTACAGGTTTGTGTACATAGATTTGTTTGTAGTAATCTCTGATGGTAGGTAGTATTTCTGTGGAATCGGTGGTGATGTGCCCTTTATCATTTTTTATTGCATCTATTTGATTGTTCTCTCTTTTCTTTTATTAGTCTGGCTAGTGGTCTATCTATTTTGTTGATGTTTTCAAAAAACCATCTCCTGGATTTACTGATTTTTTTAAGGGATTTTTGTGTCTCTATCTTCTTCAGTTCTCCTCTGATCTTAGTTATTTCTTGTCTTCTGCTAGCGTTTGAGTTTTTTGATCTTGCTCCTCTAGCTCTTTCAATTTTGATGATAGGGTGTCGATTTTAGACTTTGTTTTGCTCCTCATGTGGGCATTTATTGCTGTGAATTTCCCTCTACACACTACTTTAAATGTGTCCCAGAGACTCTGGTATGTTGTGTCTTCATTCTCATTGGTTTCGAAGAACATCTTTATTTCTGCCTTCATTTCATTATTTACCCAGTCAACATTCAGGAGCCAGTTGTTCAGTTTCCATGAAGTTGTGCGGTTCTGAATTAGTTTCTTAATCCTGAGTTCTAATTTGATCACACTGTGGTCTGAGAGACTGTTTGCTATAATTTCCGTTCTTTTTTATATGCTGAGGAGTGATTTACTTCCAATTATGTGGTCGATTTTAGAGTAAGTGAGATGTGGTGCTGAAGAGAATGTGTATTCTGTGGATTTGGGCTAAGGGTTCTGTAAATGTCTATTAAGTTCACTTCGTCCAGATCTGCATTCAAGGCCTGGATTTCCTTGTTGATTTTCTGTCCAATTGATCTAATATTGACAGTAGAGTGTTAAAGTCTCCCACTATTATTGTGTGGGAGTCTAAGTCTCTTTTTGTAGGTCATTAAGGACTTGCTTTATGTATCTAAGTGCTTCTGTATTGGGTGCATATATATTTAGGATGTATTTAGCTCTTCTTCTTGTATTGATCCTTTACCATTATGTAATGTCCTCCTTTGTCTCTTTTGATTTTTGTTCATTTAAAGTCTGTTTTATCAGAGACCAGGATTGCCACCCCTGCTTTTTGTGCTCTCAATTTGCTTGGTAAATCTTCTTCCATCACTTTATTTTGAGTCTATGTGTGTCTTTGCACATGAGATGGGTTTCCTGAATACAGTACACCGGTGGTTCTTGGCTTTTTATCCAATATGCCAGACTGTATCTTTTGATTGGGGCATTTGGTCCATTTACATTTAATGTTAATATTGTTATGTGTGAATTTGATTCTGCCATTGTATTACTGATTGGGTGTTTTACCCTTTGGATAGCGTGATTTCTTCATTGCATCATTGGTCTTTACCATTTGGTCCTTTTTTTGCAGTGGCTGGTACTGGTTTTTCCTTTCTGTGTTTATTGCTTCCTTCAGGAGCTCTTGCAGGGCAGGTCTCGAGGTGACAAAATCCCTTGGCAATTGCTTGTTCATAAAAGATTTCCTTTCTCCTTCACTTATGAAACTTAGTTTGGCTGGATATGAAATTCTAGGTTGAAAGTTTATTTCTTTAAGCATGTTGAATATTGGTCCCCACTCTCTCTGGCTTGTAGGGTTTCTGCCGAGAGTTCTGCTGTGAGTCTGATGTTCTTCCCTTTATGGGTAATCTGACCTTTCTTTCTGGCTGCCATTAGTATTTTTTCTTTCATTTCAACCCTGGTGAACCTGATTATTATGTGCCTTGGGGTTGCTCTTTTAGAGGAGTATCATTGTGGTGTTCTCTGTATTTGAATGTTGGCCTGCCTTGCTAGGTTGGGGAAGTTCTCCTGAATAATACCCTGAATAGTGTTTTCCAGCTTGGATTCATTCTCCCTGTCATCTTCCAGTACACCAATCAGGCATAGACTAGGTCTTTTCATGTAATCCCATATTTCTTGAAGAAATTGTTCATTTCTTTTCACTCTTTGTTCTCTTTTCTTGCCTTCTCTTTTTATTTCATTGATTTGATCTTCAATCTCTGATATACTTTCTTCTGCTTGATCTATTTGGCTATTGAAACTTATGTATGCTTCATGAAGTTCTTGTACTGTGTTTTTCAGCTCCATCAAGTTGTTTATGTTCTTCTCTAAGCTGGTTATTCCAGTTAGCATTTTGTCTAATGTTTTTTCAAGGTTTTTGCCTTCCTGGCATTGGGATAGAACATGTTCCTTTAACTCAGAGAAGTTTGTTATTACCCACCTTCTGAAGTCTGCTTCTGTCAATTCATCAAATTCGTTCTCTGTCCTGCTTTGTTCCCTTGCTGGTCAGGAGCTGTGAACTTGTGGTGGGGGAGAGACGTTCTGGTTTTTGATGGTTTCATTCTTCTTGGACTAGTTTCTCCTCATCCCTTGAATTTTTATAGTTTTGATCTCAGGTAGCTGCTTGGGGAGACAGCCTTTCCTTTGTCTGCCTGCAGAGGTGCTGCTGGGCTGCCACTGATTCAGTGGAGCTGCTGCATCTTTTATTTACTCAGGAAAATTAGGTTGGTTTCTGTAATGGTGGCTTCCATTGCCTGCAGAGGTGCTGCTGGGCTGCCACTGATTCAGTGGAGCTGCTGCATCTTTTATTTACTCAGGAAAATTAGGTTGGTTTCTGTAATGGTGGCTTCCATTCCGCCCGCCAAGCTGTATAGTTGCTGGTCACTCTCTAACTGACATTCTGGGTGTCTAACTCTGGAGTGAGAGTTTTTTGGCCTGCTGGGCTTTGTGTGGCAGGGGAACCCATCCTGCCATTTGAACTGTTTCTCTGCATTCCATTTTCCTTCTTACTGGGGGACGGGTATCTCTGTCCCACTGACATTTTGGCTTTCTCAGCCTCTCCTGGTGCTTCTGCCTAGATCTATGCTGACCTCTCCAGCTGGCTGAAGTTGCTGTTCTGCTCTGTTCAGGCAGCTCACTAAGGCTTTTCAACCCAGTGAAGATCTCCTGTTCTGTGGGTTGTAGAGGGCTTGGGTAGAGCACTGTATCCGAACCAAAGTCTCGGGAAGATTCCCCCAATCCTCCAGCTGGTTGTGCACTTCTCCTGGGTGGGGCCTTGCTGCACCTTGACGCAAAATGCCCTATTTGCTTTATACCCACTGTCTGACCCGACCCACAGAATGAACATGGTACCTTGTTTGGAATTGTGGAGACCACTTGGCTTCTGCATCTCTCTTGCTGGGAACTGCTTTCTGGAGCTGCCTCTTATTCAGCCATCTTGGGATTGCCAGGTATATTATTAAAAATTAAGTTGTAGGCCAGGTGAGGTGGCTCATGCCTGTAATCCCAGCACTTTGGGAGGCAGAGGGAGGCAGATCATCATCTGAGGTCAGAAGTTTGAGACCAGCCTTGCTAACATGTTGAAACCCCATTTCTACTAAAAATACAAAAAATTAGCTGGGTGTGATGGTGCATGCCTGTAACCCCAGCTATTCGGAAGGTTGAGGAAAGAGAGGAGAAGCACTTTAATCTCAGAGGCGAAGGTTGCAGTGAGCTGAGATGGCGCTATTGCACTCTGGCTTGGGCAACAAGAGCATAACGTTGTCTCAAAACAAAAAAAAAATTAAGTTATATTTTCAATGTTTCATAATAGCTGATCACATTCTAAACAATTTTGGTGATAAACACAACAGGACAGGATTTAGATTTGACAAAATTACTGAAAATATATTGACCGCAAGTTGTAGATAGTTCAGAATAGCCAATGATTAAGTTTCTTGCATCTTTCTAATTTTTTATCTACTATAATCTGTAAAAAATTTTTGTGATCTTCAAATTTCAATATTAAATTTTGAAGAGAAAGTTTTTTCTAATTCATGGCACAAAATATGTCTCTACAAGAATATGCACTTTTGTTACCTAATTTCACATCAACTGATTTTTCTTACTAAGATGACTGAGCACTTAACACAAATGAATTCATTTAATATAGAATATGTAATGTGTCAATATCTGATTAGCACTGATGTCATTTTTAAAAATTATAACTATTTTGTCCTTCATTTTTTATGTATACTTTTCTACCTGGTCAATTTCTTTTCAAATCTAAATTGTAAAGAAAATGTATTAACCTATTTACTGTATAAGTACATTTCTGTATATTTAAGCTTCTTTCTAAGATGAATGTAATGGCATTTAAAGGAAGCTGCATATATTGGCCTTATTAACACTTAATCCCTTTGTAAATGTTAATATGTATGTAAATATTTCATATTCTTAGCATTAGCCTATATTAATTTGGCCTTGTGTTCCTCATATGAGTCATTAAAATTCTTAAAATGGATCTTATTTAGGAAGAGTATCTCATACCTTTGATTATTAAAATAATAATGCATCATTTATGTAAAGAATATTTAGCCTTCAATAATTCTCATTATATGAGATTTGCCACTGTTGAATTTCAGAAATATAAAGGAATGTGTGTTTATAAAAGTGATGTCACATAACCTGTATATATTTTTCTCTTTCATTTGTAAGGCAGTTGGACAGCACAGAACTACAGCCAATTTTGGGGAATGACTTTAGAAGACGGTTTCAAATTTCGCCTTGGCACCTTGCCACCTAGTCCCATGCTCCTGAGCATGAATGAAATGACAGTAAGTGTTCTTTCTGATTCATGTATGTGCATGTATTTGTATAAATGTGTTCATGTGTACATCAAAGCAATTTAAAATCACTAAAATAATGAGTTTTCAGCTTTCAGAGTCATAATTTTGTCATGCAAATACAAAAATCCTTTCCCCAATGGTTGTTAAATTCCTCAAAAGTTTCATGTGGGCTTTGCAAATTTACTGTTATCAATTAGACATAGTCTCCTTAAGAATGATTGAGTGGGCTGGGAATATGGCTAAATAGGAACAGCTCCAGTTGGCAGCTCCAGTTGAGATCAATGCAGAAGGCAGGTGATTTCTGCATTATCTTCTGAGGTACCTGGTTCATCTCGTTGGGATTGGTTAGACAGTGGGGCAGCCCACAGAGGGTGAGCAGAAGCAGGGTAGGGTGTTGCCTCACTCTGAAAGAGCAAGGGTTGGGGAACTACCTCCCCTTGGCCAGGGAAGCCACGAGGGACTGTGCCATCAGAAACCATGCTATCTGCTCCAGATACTACACTTTTCCCATGGTCTTTGCAACCCACAGACCAGGAGAGTCCTTCAGATGCCTACACCACCAGGGCCCATGGTTTCAAGTGGCCAAAACTGAGTGGCCATTTGGGCAGACACAGAGCTAGGTGCAGGAGTTTTTTTTTTTTTTTTTTTTTCCATACCCTGGAATGCCAGTGACACAGAACTGCTGACTCCCCTGAAAAGGGGGCTTATGCCAGGGTGCCAAGTTGTCTTTCTCAACAGATCCCACCCCCATGGAGCCCAGCTCAGATCCACTGGCTTGAAATTCTTGCTGCCAGCACAGCACTCTAAAGTTGACATGGGACACTCCAGCTTAGTGGGGTTAGGGCCATCAACCATTACTGAGGCTTCAGTAGGCACTTTCCCCTCTCAGTGTAAACAAAACCACTGGGAAGTTTGGACTGGGCGGAGCCCATTGCAGCACTGCAAAGCCCTTGTAGCCAGACTGCCTCTCTAGATTTCTCCTCCCTGGGAAGGGCATCTTTGAAAGAAAGGCAGCAGCCCCAGTCAGGGGCTTATAGATAAAACTCTTGTCTCCCTGGGACAGAGAACCTGGGGGAAGGGACAGCTATGGGCATAGCTTCAGCAGACTTAAACCTTCCTGCCTGCCAGCTCTGAGGAGAGTAGCAGATATCCCAGCACAGTGTTCAAGCTCTGTTAAGGGACAGACTGCCTCCTCAAGACCCCCGTGCTTCCTGACTAGAAGACACCTTTCAGCAGGGGTTGACAGACACCTCATACAGGAGAGTTCTGGCTGGCTTTGGGAAGGTTTCCCTCTGGGATAAAGCTTCCAGAGGAAGGAGCAGATAGCAATTTTTGCTGTTCTGCAGCCCCCTCTGGTGATATCCAGGCAAACAAGGTCTAGAATGAACATCCAGCAAACTCCAGCAGACCTGCAGAAAAGGGGCCTGACTGTTAGAAGGAAAACTAACAAACAGAAAGCAATAGCATCAACATCAACAAAAGGATGCCCATGTAAAAATCCCTTCCATAGGTCACCAGCATCAGAAGTCAAAAGTAGATAAATCCACAAAAATGAGGAAAAACTGGTGTAAAAAGGCTAAAAACTTCAAAAACCAGAATGCCTTTTTTCCTCCAAAGGATCACAACTTCTCGCCAGCAAGGGAACAAAATTGGATGGAGAATGAGTTTGATGAATTCACAGAAGTAGGCTTTAGGAGGTGGGTAATAACAAACTCCTCCGAGCCAAAGGAGCATGTTCTAACCCAATACAAGGAAGCTAAGAAGATTGATAAAAGATTGCAGGAACTGCTAATCAGAACAGCCGTTTAAAGAAGAACATAAATGACCTGATGGAGCTGAAAACATAGCACGAGAACTTCGTGAAGCATACACAAGTATTGATAGCTGAATCAATCAAGAGGAATTAAGGATATCAGAAATTGCAGATCAACTTAATGAAATAAAGCATGAAGACAAGATCAGAGAAAAATGAACAAAAAGGAACAAACAAACCCTTCAAGAAACATGGGACTGTGTGAAAAGACCAAATCTGTGTTTGATTGGTGTACCTGAAAGTGACAGGTAGAATAAAACCAAGTTGGGAAACATACTTCAGGATATTATCCAGGAGAACTTCCCCAACCTTGCAAGACAGGCTAACATTCAAATTCAAGAAATACAGAGAACACCATAAAGCTACTCCTCGAAAACAGCAATCCCAGGACACATAATCATTAGAGTCAAAAAGGCTGAAATGAAGAAAAAAGTGTTAAGAGCCACCAAAGAGAAAGCTCAGGTTACCCACAAAGGGAAGCCCAACAGACTAACAGTGGATCTCTCTGCAGAAACCCTACATGCCAGTAAAGAGTGGGGGCCAATAGTCAACGTCTTTAAAGCAAAGAATTTTCAAACCAGAATTTCATATCCAACCAAACTAAGCTTGGTGAGCAAAGGAGAAATAAAATCCTTTACAGACAAGCAAATGCTGAGAGATTTTGTCACCACCAGGCCGGCCCTACAAGAGCGCCTGGAGGAAGCACTAAACATGGAAAGGAACAAGTACCAGCCACTACAAAACCATAACAAATTGTAAAGACCATTGACACTATGAAGAAACTGCATCAACTAATGAGCAAAATAACCAGCTAGCATCATAATGACAGGATCCAATTCACACATAACAATATTAATCTTAGTTAACCATCTCACACCAGTTAGAATGGCAATCATTAAAAAATCAGGAAACAGCAGATGATGGAGAGGATGTGGAGAAGGAGGAGTGATTTTACAGTTGGTGGAAGTGTAAATTAGCTCAACCATTGTAGGAGAAAGTGTGGTGATTCCTCAAGGATCTAGAACCAGAAATACCATTTGACCCAGCAATCCCTTTACTGTAATTTATAAATCCCTTTACTATAATTTATAATCCTTTGGGATTATAAATCATTCTACTATAAAGACACATGCACATGTATGTTTATTGTAGCACTCTTCACAATAGCAAAGACTTGGAACCAACCCAAATGCCTATCAGTGATGGATTAGATAACGAAAATGTGACACATATACAACATGGAAAACTATGCAGTCATAAAAAAGAAGGAAGGATGAGTTAATGTCCTTTGCAGGGACATGGATGAACCTGGAAACCATCATCCTCAGCAAACCAACACAGGAACAGAAAACCAAACACTGCATGTTCTTACTCAAATGGGATTGGACAATGAGAACATATGGGCACAGGGAGGGAAACATCACACACCGGGGCCTATTGAGGTGAAGGGCAAGGGGAAGGCGAACATTAGGAGAAATACCGAATGTAGATGATGGGTTGATGGGTACAGCAAACCACCATAGCACATGTATACCTATGTAGCAAACCTTCCCATTCTACACATGTATTCCAGAAATTAATGTGTAATAAAAAAAATTAAAATAGATAATCCAAAAAAGTATAATTGAATGTTCATTTACATTGCCAATGACTTCACACAAATAACAATTTCAGATGATTGTTTTTTCAGTATGCCAATGCTTCAGCAAATCATGGTTCCTATTTTTTTTTTAACCTAAACATAGTTATTTTGTCCTATCTGTAGGAATATCCATTATCAGAATAAAATAAATGTTGGTATCTTCAGACATATATGCTATGATGATTAGTAAAAGTTGATCCTCAAAAATCCTCAAGATTTTTGTTAAAGAATATCTTCAAATTTTGCCTGATGACCTCACAAACTCCCTTGTAAAATTACCTCAATTTTCCTAACATTCATATACTTTACACTACCATACTGGTTTTTTCCCTTTCATATTTTAGAAGTGTCATCATCTGCTAATAGGTACCTTGCACAAAGAAGTTTCTACCTCACTTGTTATTGCAAACCTCTTACTCTCAGAGCTGCAGTGTTACCACCCAGTGTGTGGTGTTCCCCAGGCACATATATTTCCCAGTTGAGATGTCGATTATATTAAAGGCCTGTTATAAATGCTCAGGGCAGAGTGGTACTTCCAGGCTGCAGGAATGTAACCTCTCCACTTCCCAAGGAAGACATCGGGTCCTGGCTTCCTGGAAGCTCTCAGCATCTTTAGCAAGCTGGGTTGTTGTGTGCTGTTGGATGAGTTATAAATGCACGGGTTTCTCTTTAAATGTTTAATGTACTTTGTTTTTAAGTGATAATTGCCTGAGTTATTATTCTGATTCAAGTTCCAGTAGCAAGGCCCCTAAATTATAACTAGTATCAGAGAAGACAATAACAGACATTTATTAAGTCAGTGTGTGTTAAAGTACTTAGCAGTTTCTTACATGATCTCATTTAATTTTCCCAGCAGCATGATGTAGTGGATACTATCATTACTCACATTTTAAAGACAGGCAAATTGAGGTTGAGAAGCTAAGTCACGCAGAGATTGAGAGAGGTTAAGAGCCACCCAGAATTACTTATATTGTGTAGCCAGGACACATCTGAAAAATCTGTCCCCCTAAAAATTTACTAGAGTTTCAGTAGAGTCAATAAGCATTGGCTAAATCAGGTTCAAAGTAGTAAAAAGACTTAATATCTTAACCAAAGCTAGTTTTCTGAAGTGTTCAGCTTTTATTATTTTTAGGTCTCCCCTACAATAAGTAAGATTTAAATGTTTAGAGATGTGGCTCCAATTTGTGGTTTTGAGTGACCTAACTGTATGGTCAACTAAAAAAGAGTAACGTTTTTCTGTTTTATGTCTCATTTTTGTTCCTGTCTAGCAGGAAAAAAAATAATATGCAGCAAGCATTATTTAAGAAAAGGGGACAGCCCTTTATAAGGTTTGCTCTTTCATTTGCTTTTATTGAGGGCCACGGTGGGCCACACACTCACTTTTCTGTGCCTATATATTTCCTGAAAATTATGTCTAATGTATCCTTTATAAACTGATTTCTGCAGCTTGGAATATTTTATGTTCTAGAGAAAATGAGTTACATTTCTTTCCCAAGTTTCCACTCACCATAGCAAAAAAAAAAAAAAGGAAAT